TTTTCCCTCGGAAGAAGGTGCATCTTAGCTGCACATAATTGCAAATTCGATTATCCTCGACTAATGCAAGCGATTAAAACTGTGAACATGACACAACATTTCAAATCAGTTGTTGAAGGATTTTCTGACACTCTTCCTATAATTGCAAAATGCAGTGGCAGAAAAGGCCAAAATAAATTAGAAGTTCTCTCAAATGATCTAAAAATTAATACTCAAGGAGCACATAATGCTGTTGCAGATGTAATTATGTTGGAACAAGTGTTGGTTAAATTGAAGATTTCAAAAGAAAAAATTGTAGAGTCGACCTTGAGCTGGAAGGAGATTGAAAAAAAGACGTTTTTGCAGAAAAATTATCTACCAACATGAAAAAACTGAGTAAATTGAATCAATGTACTTCGTATGCTATACGAAAAAAATGGTTGCTTCCAACATTTCGTATGATATGATTAAAAGCGCCTTTAAAGAAAATAAATTTGCAGGTCTTATGAATGTTTTAGGGAAAGATGAAAATGGCAATGTTCGAGTGTCAAAATGTCGTAAAGTTCTTTCAAAGATTTGTGATTTTTTCGAGCAAGACTCTGATAAAGTTAAAAAAAATTAAATTTTTTAGTTCACATTAAGCTAATAAACCAAAGGCTTTAAATGTCTATTTTTATTAATGTTGAATTTGAATATTTCAAAGCATTGTTTTAAATTTTCTAAAAATATTAAAAATAATTGCAATAATAAAATTATCGTAAATTTTTGTGAATTATTTAAATTATTATATGTTTGTATAAAAAATATATATATTCACTGAGAAAAATAATAATGTAATGTTAATAAAATAATTTGGTGAAGCACTTTTAGTTAAGATTACAAAAATTTAGTTGACATAAAAGTAAAGAAAGAAGCAATCAATCGAGAAATTTAGTTGGCTGTACCAAAAATTTCGTTCAAGCTTTTGCGTCTGTTAACTGAATAATTTGGTTCTCCAAACCAAACCGTCTGAATGCTCAATTGCGCATGCGCTGTTCTCGTAAATATGGCTTATTTCTCTGTTTACGGATGTCACACGTTAACTATGCTTCGCTCTTCGTGTCGTCCAGTTTTATTCAAGTGTTTTCGGGATTTTTATGTGTTTCAGAAATTCGGTAAAAAAGTGTGTGTAGTGATGCATATCGAACAGAGAGAATAAAGCTTGTTAAAAGAACGGAAGTTTTTCTCCAGCCTGTATACTTTATGAAAATAATTTACACTCACATTGTCACTAGGATTCTTAGTGTAGTGGTCAGCGTTCTTGATTTGCGTTGCGTAGTCTGAGGGTTCGATCCCCAGCAGTGTTAGGTTTTTCCGCAATAGAAATTAATTTAATAGATTAAAAAAGCTTAATTATTATAGAATTATAATTATAGAACTTAATCTATATATATAGATATATAGGTGAACCCATATAGGTATGACCCATATAGATATATGGGTAAAAAAGGATAGACATTTTCACACTTCTTTAAATGAAGAGTGCTAGAATTTTTTCGACAGAAATGTTCTTTTTCAATTAAATTACCAATTTTATAGATTAATTATTTGAAAACAATTTTATAAACATTATTGGACAAAAATTAATCACATTTTCCATTATTCATGTTTTGATTACGTCGAATGAATGTTTTTTCATATTACTTAAAAAATTTTAGTCAAAGTCTAAAACAAGTGAACGTCAGAAACAAATGAAATTCTATAAAATTTTACGCATGCGCAGTGTACGTCGAGCTTAGAAACAGTTGAACGTTTCTTCATTTCATCGTAGTTACTCGAGCAGTAAACACTTTTTAGGATTTATAGCTTTCAAGGTGGGTATTTTTAATTTTTGGTGTTCAGTTGAATTTTGTTAATTTTGATGCTACTGAATTTTATTGTGTAGAACAATTTGTATTTATGTTTAATTTTTTGTCTTAGATATAAGAGGTTTTTTTTTGTTTTTATTCTGGTTTTTTCTTCACAGTTAGGTTTAGTTCTTTCGTTTCGTTTCGTTTACATTTAGATTTAAGTTTTCTTCTGTTTTTAAGTTTTTTAAGACCAAGCTTTTGCGGTACTTCATTCCAACTTAAAAAAAATTAGAAATCATCGTTTTATCTAAATGACATCTTTCAAAATAAGCATGTGGAATGGCTTTTGACTGACTTTGAAGTCAATTAAAGCACTCGCAGCAAAACTTCTGGAAAAAATAAGAAAGAATTTGAAAGTTGTTCAAAATCGAAAAAAGAAGAAAGGTGCAAGATATTTGTGACCTTTATTCTCAAATAGAAATTCAGGAGGCATTTTTTTATAACTTAAAAGTTTTAGGGCAAAAAATTTAGCGACTGAAATAAGGGAACTGTTAAATAACTCAGAAAAACAAGAAGATCAAGATAATGTTATTCGGAATTCTGAAGATGAGGCACTTGCAATGATTGAAGATGGAAATTTTTTTAAATATCAGTATGACATTCTTCGCTCACAAGCAAAACAAAAAAAATGCTGATATATATATATACCGCACAAAAATTTGACATAAGTAAAGAAAAGATGCTATCTTCCTCCTGAAGCTATAACAATTACGGAGAAAAGTGCTAAAATTAATTTGCAGGCACTTCTTGACCATACAGTACAACGTTTGTTATTAATTCCTAATATTCAAACAATGATTATAGAACAAAATCTTCAATCCATGACACTTGTTTAAAATATGGTTGTGATGGAGCATCAGGCCAAAGTTCCTACAAACAAAAACTTTCAGAAGACATGATATCTGATCAAAGTATTTTCATGTCTTCAATGGTTCGTATTCTGCTAGAATCAGAGTCAAAAGAAATCTGGAAAAATCCACACTCTGGATCTACAAAATTGTGCATTCCTTTATCAATTCAGTACACAAAAGAAACTCCTACACTAACACGATCTGTTATAGAACAATTAAAAATGGAAATAAGTCGTCTTAGGTCTACTCATGTATCATTTGGCAAATTTAGATGTCAAGTAAATCACAAAATGTTCTTAACCATGATAGATGGAAAAGTAGCTCAGAATCTCACTGAAACATCAAGTGCAGCAACTTGTTACCTTTGTAAAGCAAATCCTTCAGAGATGAACGACTTGAAAAATGTTGGGCTAAAACCAGTTATTGAAGAAAACTGTGAATACGGAATGTCAACATTGCATGCTAAACTAGTGTTTATGAGAAATGTACTGAACATTTCTTATCGAAAGGATTTTTGTAAATGGCAAATCAAATCCGACAAAGAAAAAGAAATGTCAAAAGCTGCGAAGTTGAGGGTGCAGGAAAGATTCCGGAAAGAAATGGGTCTGATTATAGACGTTCCAAAACCTGCGGAGCAGGGAAATCAGATGATGGAAACACGACACGACAATTTTTCAGCGATCCTGAATTAACATCTGATATTATAGGTGTTAATGTTAATTTAATAACTCGTTACAGCATAATTTTGCAAGTGATTTCTTGTGGACGAAAATTAACTCGCTTAAATTTGACGAATATTTATATCAAACTTCAGAAATGTACGTTGAACTTTTCAAATGGTTTCCAATGTCATCAACAGTTCACAAGGTCCTTATACATGGCCGAAAAATCGTAAACAAATTTCTTATTCCAATAAGTTTGCTATCAGAAGAAGCTCAGAAGGCGAGAAATAAAGGTTTTAAGCGGTTTCTTGAATTCAATACACGAAAATGTAATCGTCTTGTTACGAATACCGACTTAATTCATAAACTGCTGCTTTCTTCTGATCCTTATTTATCTCATTTCAGACAACACTGGAAACATATTGACAGTAATCTTGACTTGGCAGCTCTGGAATTGTTACCAACTGATTAAATCAGTTCCTTCGTTTTACTTTGCTCGTACTTCTTTACTTTTTTAAAAAAACCAAAACTATCTTGTTAAAATAAGAATGTTTAAGCTTTATTCTAAGAAGAGTATCATATTTTTACACTAAAAATTAAAGTAAAGATGCTTTCAAATTTTAATTTATAAAGAGACCATTTGAAAAATATAATTGTTTATATAATTTGTTTATAAAAATGAGAAAGTTAATTGCAAAATGACTTTTTCCGAAAGAAAATCTCTGAGCGGCTTAGACTAAACAATAATTGTAAAAAATTCTATTCATTTGTGCTGAAAAATGGCCGTACAGTGTAATTGTTTATTAAAATTGTTTAAACAATTAAGATAAATTATCAAAAAATATTGGTTTAATGAAAAAAAGTTTAATCGCAATAATCCAAAGCAAATTGATGAAAAAAACAAATGTTTTTTAGATGTAACTTCCCGCAAAGTGTAATTGTTTATAAAAATTGTTTATAACAATTATTAAGGTCATGTAATTTTTTTTACTATTTACATACCCTCAGGCATTAAATGTATGCAATATGAAGTGTGCAAAAAAATTTTTGTGCAAATTTGATCGAAAAGTTGAAAAAATGACTTTTTTTACACTTTGCATTGATATTAAAAATTTATAAAATAAAAAATCGAGTCTCACAGATCTCTTCAGAATTTAGTTCTGAGTAAGAGGAAAAAAAAATTTTTGAATTTGGTTCATAATTGTAGTCTAAAAGTTAATTTGAACCAAATTTTGTCATTTTGCCCCACTGCGTTCCAGCAGACACTCGGTCTGGCGCATAAAACCTGCAGGGCGTGCCGGTCAGGTTTGTTATCTGGGTTAGTTCGGTCGCGAAGTACTATATTCTTGCCCGGGGTGGGCGCAAAATACTTTTCCGCCCGTTTGCAAACAAAATTGATAGAACGCATTCTACTTTCCTATAGAGTACAGAGTTTCACTTATAGGGAATTTACCACAAAATTTACTAATCGTGCTGTCAATGACATACTTTCCATGCTGTTAGGACAACAAATTTTGTTCGCACCATGGGTGCAAAGGCGATTGTGACTCGATTAAAATCACCTATTTTGCGCTCTTGATACGGAAATAACTATTGTTTACTTTTAAAATTTTAAATAGGAAGTGAAATTGACTGGCAGTACAATACGACTAATGAAAATTTTGCGTGTTTGTCTACCGGTGGATCATGTAGCTGGCCAAGGGGTAAAAATCTCGGGGGGACTTCTTCTCACAATGGAATGATGTATATTCGTGGTCATCAAAAGGATTATGACAACTGGGAGGCTCTCGGGAATAAAGGGTGGTCATGGAAAGAGGTATTTATTAAACATTTATTTATGTGACTTTGATTTACTTTATACCGAGGGTTCCGCACACCAATTAAAAACAAACTATGAACAAGAAAACTATTAAAATAAATTTCATTTTATTCTGCCACAAAATTTAACAATAGCTCCTACAAACTTCTTTCTTTTTTATGTATAACCGACACAGCCCTGAAACTTTATTAAGCATTTATGAAAGATTTAAGTATAATCTTCGGAATAATTAATTGCAATACAGTTGGGATTTTGTCAATAAAATTAAAGACCTCCATGTTCCGAGTAACTATAGATTGATTTCATTGGATGTTAAATCTCTTTTTACTAATATCCCTAAAGATTTGGTTTTAAGATGCTTAAAATTAAAATGGAGAGATATCAGGGATCACACAAAAATTCCAGTGTCAGAATTTTTGGATTTGGTCGAATTTTGTATGGACAATTCTTATTGTCGTTTCCGAGATTGTTTTTTCAAGCAAATTTTCGGTACTCCTATGGGATCTCCCCTTTCAGGTGCTATCGCTGATTTAGTTATGGAAAAGTTGGAACAGGATATTTTAAAATCGTTAAAATTCAGTTATATTTTTTATTTTCGATATATCGATGATGTGATATTCTGTGTCCCCATGGAATGTATCACCGATATACTACAGGTTTTCAATTCTTATCATCCCAGAATTCAGTTCACTATTGAAAATGAATTAAACAATTCTATTAGTTTTTTGGATGTATTAGTTACTAGAGAAAACAATAAACTTATTACTAACTGGTACAGAAAACCAACTTTTTCAGGACGCTATGTAAATTACAATTCTGAAATTTGTGTCAAAGACAAAATTTCTGTTATTTATGGATTGGTCGATAGAGCAATTAAATTGTCTGACGAAAGAGTCCATGAAGCGAATTTGCGTCTGATCTCTGATATTTTAAAAATCGGACAAGTGCGAGTTACACTCGCACTGAAATCGAGGGTTCCGTACTCGAAGCGAACTTATTTGGTATAAAAACAAATGTTTAAAAAATATGTGTTGTATGACAACTAATATAAGTGATACAAAAAGGAACAATTTTGTAAAATTCAAGAAAATTGTTCCTCTTCGTATCACTTATATTAGTTGTCATACAACACATATTTTTTAAACATTTGTTTTTATACCAAATAAGTTCGCTTCGAGTACGGAACCCTCGATTTCAGTGCGAGTGTAACTCGCACTTGTCCGATTTTATTTTTTAAAAAATATTTTACTAAAAAAATATAAGAAACATAATTTTATTTCAACTCGCAATATTTTTATTGTATTTACATTTTAAAAATATATTAAATATTAAATTTTATCTTTTTAAGTCAAAAAGAGATAAAACTTAAGATATTGATATAAGGCTAGTAGCTGCTTGTCAAGGAAAAATCGAAAGTTATCTAAAAAATAAAATTTGTTTATTAATTCCAGAAAAATCAACTCCAATCATCCTCGCTATATTTTTTTGTAATCTACACGTAAAAATACGTCAAAATATATAAATTTGAATCACTGTAGAAAAACTTTTTTCGTTTTTTGCGGAAAAATACATTTTTTTCTGAAATTTATCATTTTTCTTCAAAAATTTGATAAAAATTGATCATCAACTCCAATCGCGCTTACATTTTTTCCCTGTATTTTTCACGCAAAAATTGAGTTTTACAGCAAGTATGAACAGTCTGGATTGAATATTGTGTGCGCTAGGGAGAATTAATCATTTTTTTCGAAATTTTTGATTTTTCCTTGACAACGCTATGTAAATTAATCCGAATCAAGTTCGCTATAATTTTCCTGTAATTTTCACGTAAAAATACGTAAGTGTGTCAAATTTGAGCTCTTTATGTCAAAAGATGTGGCCGCTAGGGGGGGGGGGTACATACTCATTTTTAGGTATTTTTCGTAAAAATTCATGGTTTTTCCTTGACAACGCTATGATAATCAACTCCAATCATGCTCGCTATATTTTTTTTGTAATCTACACGTAAAAATACGTTAAAATATATAAATTTAATTTCCTTTAAATAAAATTTTGTTCGTTTTTGGTGGAAAAATACTTTTTTTTCCTAAAATTGTCATTTTTTCTTGAAAAACTTGATAAAAAGTTAATCATCAACTCTAATCGTGACCGCTTTTTTTCCCCTGTATTTTTCCCGTAAAAATACATTTGTATACTAAATATGATCTGTCTGGGTTGAATATTGTGTGCGCTAGGGAGAATAAATTATTTTTTTCGAAATTTTTGATTTTTCCTTGACAACGCTATGTAAATTAATCCGAATCAAGTTCGCTATAATTTTCCTGTAATTTTCACGTAAAAATACGTAAGTGTACCAAATTTGAGCTCTTTATGTCAAAAGATGTGGCCGCTAGGGGGGGGTACATAGTCATTTTTAGGCATTTTTCGTAAAAATTCATGGTTTTTCCTTGACAACGCTATGTTAATCAATTCTGGAGAAGATGGTGGTCTTACCATATAGTAAGGATCTATCATTTTTTCTAAGAAATGCTTATAAGGAGTTTGGAGTGAGGGTTGTGTTTACGTATGAGAAAGATCCCTTTAATTGTTTTAGTAAAAATAAAGACACTACACCGCTTGAATTTCGTACGTACGTTGTATACAGTGTTCCATGTAAGTGTGGGGATGTGTACATTGGTCACACTGAAAGATATTTGAAAGACAGAATGTGTGAACACAAGCGAGACTGCGAAAATGATAAAAGAAATTCAGCACTTGTTAAACACTCTCATGAGATGAATCATAAATTTTGTTTCGATAACGTTAAAATTTTATGTACAGAAAGATGTTATACTCGCAGAATTTTCAAAGAAATGTTTCAAATTGTTAAAAATAAGAAACCTGTTAATTTAAGAACTGACACTAATTCTCTTAATGACATTTATAGAAATTTAATCTTGAACACCAATACGTTGTAATTTAATTTGATTGATTCACCTTATGCGACTGTAGCGCTTCTTTGGTTCTTTTCTTTTTTGTACTCAAAAGGCACTTTATTGTATCGACTACCAAACCTCGACAGTTATGACTTTGAATACTTGTTCTGTGGTCAAAAACATGTGGCATGTAAGGAATGGGGATGGTTCTTCCTCCCCTTTTTAATTAAGTTTGTAATGTTTTTAATTAATATACATGTTTTTGTTTTATAGTTCTATTGTTTTATAGTATTTGTGGTTATTGAACAAGAATATTTATTTGATAATGAAGGATAGAGAGTAGATTTCGAGATTTGATTGGTGAGTGAGGTTAGCTTTCTATGTTGTATGCGTGTGAAAAGGAGTGTATACATTTTTGTTAATTCACTTTTTTCGCAGATTGTTAATGCCCTGAGTAGGCTCTGCGTCGTAGAGCGAAAGCTCAGTTTTTAAAAAAATAAAAAATATTGATCAAAGGAATAAAAAAATTATAACATCTTTCACTAAAATTTAAAAAACTGATCAACAACCTTTCCATCTTTGTCTAATAATTAATTGTAATGTTTAATAAAGGTTGAATAAATATTAAATTGAATTAAAACAAAATTAAATATTAAATGACGTAAAACTTTATTAACATAGACGTAAATTCCTGTAGTCTGAAGAAAATTGATTTCCTCTAATTTTTCTGAATACATTTTCATTTCTGACTTTTTTTATCTTCTCTATGCACCAATGTTGTTAAGAAAATAGAAGTTAGTTTTGAAGCAATGTGTGGTATAAAGCATATAAAGCCGCAAATTTATTCGACCAAGCGTTACTGCCCAAAAAAGTATTGCCTGTCTTTAAATCGTCATGGAAGAGAAAAAGATGAAATGCGAGAGTATCCGCAATGTTTAAATATAAGTTTATCCAAAGCTCTGCTTGCATGAAATTAGAAATAATGTGTGAGTCTTGTCGTAATTTTTTATCATAATCTACATTTTGTTGCAGAATTAAGGGTATTTGTAAAAATAATTTTTAAAGTTTTTCTTGTCAGTACGTAAATAGCATATAAATCATGCGGCACAAGTAATACATCATTACCAACTAATTTGTCGATTAAAATTGTTCCAATTTTTAGTTTTTCAAAATCTATTAATCCCCTTTCTCTTAATAAGCTAAATTTTTTCGCTTCAGTTGACATATTTGTAAAGAGAAACATACTCATCAAAACACTTATCAATTTTTTTCCCAGTCCTATTTGAAATTTGTTCATTTTCTAATATTTTGAGAATCTCACTTTTCAGAGATGAAATGTAAATATTTCAAACGAAATTATCCATGAATTCAACCACATTTTGGACTATTTTTCTCGGAAGACTAGGATTACCGTACAATGAGAAAGCGAAAGAAATTTAAAGTTTAAAAGTATATCCTGTTGACTTTTTTGCTCTCGCAGTTTTCGGAATTTATTTCTGCAGCTTGCAAAACTTTCATTTTAAAGGTTTTCAAAAGTTTAAAAGAATTTAGAAGAAGTACTAGCGTCAAAAAACTGTTGAAAGTTTGTAAAAACAAAAATTAAAATTGCATTTTAATTAGATGAAGTATTATTAACAGCCAACATAGCACTAAAAATTCTTTGAAGGTTTAAAAGTTAATTTGGAAATATTGAATTATCGTGTTAAGTTAATAACATTAAATAAAAATTTAATTTACATATTCAGTCAATTTTCACGATAAACATTCCCTTATATGCGGACATTTTAACATTCAAATAATATTCTCAAAACTTTGCGTTTCCATATTCCCAAGTTAACGTTTAAACCTTTAATGAATCTTCAGGGAATTTTCAAGTCTGGGTGCAAGGTAGAAATAATATGTAAATGATCAACGTTAAGCAGGCGGTAATATGTTTTCTATATTGCACAAAATTTTAAAGGTGCTTAATATCGATTACTTTATTTACAATGGTACGCCACGTTTCATCGAAAACTGTAGAATAATCCTTTACAGTTTCTTGATAATCTAATTCAAGCTAATTTATAACATATACAAATTTAATTT